ATTCTGCTCTCATAAAGATTTACAGCCTTGGAAACCCTGTGCAGGGTCACTATGAGTCAGAACCAACTCCACAGTACTTAACAACAACAACAACAATTAGATAGTTTAAGGCGATAGCTAATCTAGCGAGTTGTTCTCTAAACAATATCATGTTGTTATTGTTGTTCAGTGCCATAGAGCTGGTTCCAACTCATAGCAACCCTGTATAGGGTTTCCCAGGAACAACTGGTTTGAACCACCAAACTTGTGGTTCACTGTCCAGTGCTGATCCTACAGCAAGCACCACACGAGGAGTCCAAACAATATCATAGGCAGGAAGTTAATTTATCTTATGATTTTTAATTATCATGTTTGAAATCTTGGGAAAAAATATTGAGTTAAGTGTGTGTCCCACATTTTAACTTTCGGGATTCTTGTTCTCTGTTTACTTAATAATTTGGAGTGTTTCAAAATATAAACCTGAAAAGTTAGGGTTTTTCATCTTTGTAATAATCAATATTCTCTGTCATATATCGGCTCAAGTGTCATTCTCTGTTAGTGTTTATATTAGGTAATAAGAGCCTGGAATTTATAACCTCAATTCTGAAAGGAAACTCTAGAATAATGTGTTGCTAAACAAGTTTCTTAGCTAATTACACAATAGTATGCCTTGATTTATTCTGACCATCTGTACTGTTCAGTCTTTAGGATCATTGAAAATGATGCTCATTTATAGGTTTGTCAAAATACAAATTAGAAATAAATGACAACAGAAACATCTTATTTTCAATAAAAAAGAAAGAAATTATGATTTTATTTTAAATATTAGAAACAATATTCAGTAATAGAGGAATATTTAAATTATGATAATTTTACATGAACTATTATGTTATCGTAGCATAGTGGTTACGAATCGTGCTGTGAACCACAAGGTCAGTAGTTCGAAACTACCAACTGCTCCGCGGGAGAAAGATGAGGCTTTCTACTCCCATAAAGATTTACAGCCTCGGAAACCCTGTTCAGGGTTGCTATGGGTCGGCACTGACTCGATGGCACTTAACAACAACAACAACAACATTATGTAATCATTCCAAATATGTACAGTATAACAAATACTATATTTTAGGTTGGAAATCTTAAATCCCACCCTTTTTTAGACAAATAAGGAAAAATAAGCACAGCTTAACATAGTTTCTGTATAAGTATTTTTACCCTAACTTAATGCTTTTAAAAATAAAATTGAAACAGAAAGGAGCCTGTTAGAGTTTTCAAACTGTAATTGGTTTTAGGATTTGACTATATCAGATAATTGAAGCTATATATAATGAGTGTTGGAAAGCACTGTCATGGATAAAGTTCCAGACTATTGAAATAACTAATTTTTGAAATATTTAGAGGTCTGTGAACAATTAAAAACAAAAAGGAAAGGGGGGATTAAATAAATATACAGCCAAAGAGCAATATCAGGCTTGAGGACATATATTTATAGTATATTTTCAATTATTTAAATCTGACCTTCCTATTGTTGTTGTTGTTATGTGCCGTGGAATCGGTTCTGACTCATAGCGACCCTGTACAGGGTTTCCGAGGCTGTAAATCTTTATGGGAGCACAAAGCCTCATCTTTCTCCCGCAGAACAGCTGGTAGTTTCGAACTGATGACCCTGAGGTTACCAGCCCGATTCATAACCACTACACTACCAAAGCTAGAGTAGTTTTCTTAATCTAGTAAATTTCATGTTGTTTTTTTTTTTTCATCTAGTGTTTGGAAATCTCCTTGAAAAGAAAATCATCTGTCTGTAGACACTGAGCCAAAAGAATACTTGTTTTTAACTAAGTTTCACTAATGTTCATGTTTGGAAGGAAAGTAAAATCTCTAGAAAGGGCAAGTCAACTACCAGAAGCTTAGTTCTTTGAAGCTTTATATTATAAGATTTAAAATTTTTCCCTTTGACCACCTGGTGTTTTCATTTTGACTTCAACCTCAAATTAGCTAATATTGATTATGAAACTCATCATACTTCCTGGTTTCTGAAGCTTGCATAGTGTAAGAAAACTTAAAACATTGAAAAACATTAGGAATTGTTGCTTGATGAAAGAACAGTGTAGCATTGAAAGTCAGAATGTTGCATCTGGACAAGAAAACTCTCCAAGGTACCTCACAGAGATTATGAAAGTATTAGGATTTTGAAGGCCCGTGATGTGCTTATTTTTTTTTCAGTGTTTTATTGTGAATGATGTGATTCATCCTATCATATATTGTTTCATTGCCATGGTTACAATCTCCTCCATGCATCATCAACTAACCAAAAGGTATACACTACAAGCCTGCCCCCCGGTCGTCAGCACACAGCCCCTCTCCCTCTCTGTGTCTAAAGTCCCCAACTGCTCCATCTCTCCATGTCATCATCTCTGTCTCCATTTCAGGCATCACTGCTTCTCTGGGTAGGGTCCTGCTCTCTGCTCTTCTCCCTTCATGGTCCCAGAGACCTCCGTTCCTAGGCTGAAAAGTTGATCACTCTCCTCTTTGCTACAAAACGTCTACCTTTACATTTCCAACACTCACAAGCAGTCCTGATAAAAATTATTCACTATTGTATCACAAGAGACCCATCCGCATTTCATTTCATCAGCCCCGCCTAGACAGATTGTATGTGTCTCAGTGGAGAGTCTGCCTTCCTCCATGCCCTCTGAATCTAGGCTCCCTCTTGAAAGCTTGTAAGCCAGTCACTTCTTACCTTTGTAGCCACTCCCCGCCCATTTTGGGTAACCAATGTTCAAGTTGCCCATTCCTGTCTACCCTGTGTATCGAGGGGGTGGGAATGATCCTCGCTGTAAAGATTTGTTCCCTTTTTTGAGCTACTGCATCCATAGGTGTAGGTCAAGTTCATTAAATTGTATCAGATTATTCTTTTTTTCCACTTCTTTCTTCTTCTAGTTGTGTTCTGATAATCCAGCCATTGAAGCCAGGTCAAGTGGGTATTATCTGTAAGTGTGGGTATTATCTGCAAACATGGATATTCTTGTGCATCTCCCCTCACTTCTTATCAGCTGGATGCTTCACTCTCCACTCTAGTCCTCTGTGGCTATATCACTGACTCTGGACCCAGGAGTCCCCAGGTCTTCCCATACTGCTGGCCGACCAGGTCTCCACCCGGGTTCACAGGAGTCTATTGAACGTGGTAGGGCTTAGCTCGAAGCTTCATTGCTGTTTTTCCCTCAAGTCCCCTTATTGGTGACCTACGTAGTTACCAGTCAGAGCACATATCTGCTCATGTATTTCCCTTGAGTCTTAGTCTTGGAAGGGGGTCTGCCTTGAGGGGACCCAACTACTTGTCTTGATGTCTCCTGGGCGAGCAACTTGCTTGTTCTTATAGTAGTCAGTCAGACTGCTGTTATTGTTTTTTTATTTGTCCTGCTGATTTTTCTTTCAAGAAGTATTTTCTGTTCTTCTAGCCATTCCAGGCTGGTCTGCTTATCCTTTCAAGTGGGAATTTCCCCCTCAGAAGATTCTGGATGGGGTTCAGGATTTCACCTGTGGTCTTATGCAATGCAGAGGCTCTGCAGGAAGCTGCCTTCACTGGGCAAGTTGTAGCCCCATTTTAGGTAGTATTCCAATCAGTTATAGACAGAAAGAAAACAAGCTTTCTATGGTGATATTTCTGGCTATTCCTTTCTTTCCCTTCCAAGTGTCTATTTTATAATGGTATGTAAGGGGAAATCAAGATTCAAAAGATAGCCAAGCATCTTAACATTATTCCCCCCCTTTTACCCATTCAAACCATGCCTCCATCCCTGTATCCCAGAGTCCTGTGATTCCAAGGTTGTGTGATGTGCTTTTTTTGCATTTAACTCAGTGCTACTTTTCTTTTTCTTGTCTTTATATACAGCTGGAATGCTTGCTGACTCCTATACAAACCTGTAAGGCCAAGACCCTAAGGAACCAGTTGGAGAATGCCGTCTGAACGCTGCCTCAGGTATATCTTTTAGGGTGTGTCCTTGCTTGGTGTTGAGAGTCCTGAAACAGTAACACTGTACCTCAACAATATTTGAATGAATTCAATAAACCAGTGAGAGCTATCATGAATTTAGTATAGTAGCACAAGGACTATAGTAAATTATACAATGTAGTTTTTAGTTAGCTACTTATTATAACTTAGTATAGTCCCATAAGGACTGTACTAAATGTTACCTAGCCATTTATTGTTAGCCATCTCAATAGTTAAAATTGAGATACAGTTCCTGTTTCTTTGAAAGATACTATTTTTAAAAAGAACCATTTTATTTAGGATGTCACCCTCCCTCTAACAAAAGGTATACTACTATGAATTTCTATCATTAAAAAATGAATCCGGAAGCCATACAAGCCAATCCAAGGATTTTTTTTTTTTTTTAAGTTTATGGAAAAACTCCATTATCTTTCAATTCCCCTTTTCCATGAATTTTTAGAAACCCTTTTGTATATGGGCATTGTCCTCCTTAATGCAATCACTTATTGTCAAACTACTCCCTAACATTTTCTTTTAATACTTCATTTATTTGACAAATATTTGTTGAGCCAAGCACTCAGCTTGTTGCTGGGGATACAGAAATTAATAAAATAGATAAGGCCTCATAAAGCTTGGATTCTATGAGAGAAACAGATATTAAACTAACAATCACACCAGTACCAATGCAAATAGAATTGTGACAAGTGCTTTGAAGGAAACACATAGGTGAGGAAAGCCTTCCAGAGGAAGTGCTGTAAACATATAACCTGAGATCTGAAAGAAGGGGTGAGCTGGGAAATGCCAGGAGGCAGGGAGGAATGTAGTAGATTCCAAGAACTGAGGCACCCAATGCAGGGCATTCATTTGTATAACTTCAGTGGAAGCATATCTTCATCATCTCTCAAGGGTAGATTTGTTTTTCCCAAAGACATTTAAAGCCAAAAATAAGAGAAATGATATATATATACTTTTTTTTTACATTAAGAATTTATATTGTTATAATGCTGAACAAATTTCTAGAGAGCTTCTAGACTAAGATTGTTTGGAAGACTGGGAAGAAAGGCTTGGGGATCTACTTGAAATTTGACAGTGAAACTCTATGGATCACAATGATCTGATTCTATTGTTCATGGGGTTGCCACAAATTGGGGACCAAGTTGATGGCAATGAACAACAATGAAATATTGAGTATGATTTTCTTCCATGACCCTGAAGCTTTCAGGGTAAATAAAAGCAAAACAAATTCACTGCCATTGAGCTGATTCTAAGTCATAGGACAGAGTTGTTGTTGTTAAGTGCCATCAATTTAGTTCTGATTCATAGCGACTCTGTATAGGGTTTCTGAAGAGTGACTGGTGGGTATGAACCAGTGACCTTGCGGTTAGCAGTCCAGTGTAGAACAGCCCTTTTGGGTTTCCGACATTGTAAATCTTTATGTGAGCAGGCAGCCACATCTTTCTTCTGCTGATTGTCTGGTGGATTTGAACCATGAACCTTGCAGTTAGCAACCCAACACAGAACCCTCTGTGCTACAAGGTCTCCATCTGTCAGTGATAACTGGTTCATAAATGTGTTTAGGAATGAGAGTGTGGCTACCGTAGTGTAACATCTGCCCACTCCTGTGTGAATCTGTTGCTCTAGATGAGTAGTAGTTTTCCACAGAGAGTGATTTTAACCCTCAGGGGGGCATTTGAAAATGTCTAGAAACACTAGTTTGCCGTTAATGAGGAGTGGTGAAGGGTGATAACTAGAGGGGAGAGACAAAGACCAGAGATCTGTTAAACATCCTACAATACACACAACAGTCCCCCATAACAAAGAATGATACGGCCCCAAATGTGAATAGTGCTGAGGCTGAGAAACTTTGTTCTAGATTCTATAATTCAGCCCATATAACACATGGCGAACATGCAGCTGGCCTGTCATTACCTCAGGCAAGTGATCATTGTGTATTCACCTCAAAATGAATTTATATATCTGCCATTCCTGTTTTTGTTAGTCAAGCCGTATCCTGCCACCATCTGTCCCTCACAGTGTCATTCTCTCCATAATGGTCTTTCCTTCTCTGTTGCAACCTGTACTGTTCCCCATCTCCCAAATCCTTCTCCTGCCCCCTGCTGCACCTGATGTATGCTCCCCTGTATCATCTTCATTGCATCTAAAAGCTCTGCTCACCTTTCTGTTCTCTCCTGAAGCACCATTTCTCTTGTAGCCCTCTCAAGTGGTAGCATTATTATTTCTTCATACCTCACTGATTTCAGGGATAGGTGAAGATATCGTTTGCCCCTGAGACATAGTTTTATTTCTAGATCATTACTCCTCAAATGTGTTGTCAGAGAAAGCAATGACAAAATCATGCTTTTCTGAAGGCTGTGTCCTTCAGCTTTGTCACCTTTCTCCTCATCTTGTTTGTCAGGGTCATTTACTCTCATTCACTGAGCAGGTTGGCATTTGACTTACCATCTTCCTTCTCATTGAAAGTCCTTGGAACACCTCCAAGGCCCTCAGTATCCACAGGGAGGATCTGCTCAATGTCACGGCTCTTGGATTTTCAACTTGCTTCTCCAAAAAACTTTTTTCTCCCTCCACTCGGCCACCCACACCCGTGGCTACACTTTGGACGTCGTCATGCCCTATAGTTGCTCCACTTCTGAGTTCATTAAATCAGTCACTTTATTTCTAAACAGGACCTCTTCTAGTTTTGTGATTTACCTACCCTACTATGGAGCCCTTGTGTGGGACTGTAGGATAAGCACTGGACTACTGACTGCAAGGTCAGTGGTTCAAACCCACCAGCTACTCCTTGGAAACCCTATACAGGGTCACTATGAGTCAGAAAAAAAGTATTTGCAATGAAGAAGTCATTCATCTTGTAAAATTCTATCATGCTATCTCCAACATCATTTCTATCATCAAGGCCATATTTTCCAACACCAATCCATCTTCTTTGTTTCCAACCTTTGCATTCTAATCACTAGTAACTATTAGGACATCTAGATGGCATGTTTGATCAATGTTTCTTCAATTTCATCATCTCTGGCTATAGTGGCATAAATTTGAACAATATTTGTATGAAGTGGTCTTCCTTGTAGACATCTGGATATGATCCTATCACAGACAGCATTATACTTCAAGATAAATGTTAAAATGTTCTTTTTGATGTTGAGTGTGACACCATTCCTCTTTCGTTGGTCATTTCAGCATAGTAAATCATGTGATTGTCAGATTCAAAATGACCAGTACCATCCATTACAGCTCACCAATGCCCAGGATAGCGATCTTAGTGTGGTCCATTTCATTTTTGACAACTTCCAATTTTCCTAGATTCATACACCGTACATTCATGTTCTAATTATTAGTGGATGTTTACAGCTGTTTCTCACAGTCAACTCTGTTTTGAGGAGGCAGCTTTTCCCCAGTAGTATTCTGAGTGCCTTCCAATCTGAGGGGCTCATCTCCCTGCACTTTATCTGACAATATTCTGGTGCTTTCTCACAGTGTTGTTGTTGTTGTTATGTGCCGTGGAGTTGGTTCCGACTCATAGCGACCCTGTACAGGGTTTCCGAGGCTGTAAATCTTTACGGGAGCCGAAAGCCTCATCTTTCTCCCATGGAACAGCTGGTAGTTTGGAAGTCCTGACCTTAAGGTTCGCAGCCCTATTCGTAACCACTACGCTACCAGAGCTTCTTATGCCTCTGCTATTCATATGTTTTTCAGTGGCTAAAAATCCAATAGCCTGCTTCTCCTTTTTCCTAGTCTGCCTAAGTCTGGAAGCACAGCTGAAATCTGTCCACCATACATGTACCCTGTTGGAATTTAAATTACTAGTGACATAGTTTCCGGCATCACAGCAGCATGCAAGCCACCACAGTATGACACAACATGTCAACATTGCTTTTATGAAATCCCTGATTTTTCTTGCTCTCTGTATTTTTGTTTAATTTTCATGATAAGATCCAAACCGGGATTACCCATAGTCCCATGCTACATTGTCCACTGGACACTGACTCCAATAAAATATTAGATCCAAGTAAGCAAAATAGGCCCAGAGTTTTGGTATGTGTTTATCTTCATACCCCCTCCTTGCTTCTACTTGAGTAGCAGCTGTCCTTGTTGTTGTTATGTGCCGTGGAATCAGTTCTGACTCATAGCGACCCTGTACAGGGTTTCCAAGGCTGTACAGCTTCACAGGAGCAGAAAGCCTCATCTTTCTCCCATGGAACAACTGCTAGTTTCGAACTGCTGACTGTGAGATTAGCAGCCAGACTCATAACCACTACACTGCAGCTGTCCTTAGTGAGAGCTAAACTCAACCCTGCTTCTGTGGCTTGAATCCTATCTTTCTTATCTTCTCAGCAACCTGCTGTTATTTGTCTCTCATCTGTGTTCTTGAGACACAGCTGTGCTTCTATTAGTCTCTCTAATAACAGAAGTCACAAAGTTGCGTCTCTAGCCAAGGTCTCTTTTTGAGCTCCATGAATCAAACTACATATTTCTCATTTATTCTTGGGTATCTTAAAGACAACTCACCCTCAACACGTCCCTAATCAAACTCATCATCTTCCTGTCCTGCAATCCTGATACTCTTCCATTATCCCCTGTTTTCAGGAAGATCAAGATATATATGCCAGAAACATTGGAGTCTTCTGTGGGACCTCCTGCCCACAAGCATCCATATCAAATTCATTATGAAGACCTGTAGATTTTCCCTCCTAAATAGCTTTCAAATTCATTCATCTCTTTAAAACTTTACCCCCAAGCTCCAGTCCAAGGTCTTAGTCCTTTACTCACCTGAATACAGCCACAGGTCTGCTCTCCTCTGGCCCAGTCTGCCAGAGTGCCCTTGGAACTAACTGAAGCCAGAATGATCTTTCCTGTGAGTTCCCTTTGCTCTTAGGATGAACTAGTTCAAGAGTCCTGCATAAGTGGACTCCCCTTCTCTGTGTTCAGACCTCAGCTCTACCATGCTCTCCCTTGTTCAAAATTCC